TGGTCGGGCCTGCATTTGAAGACAATCAGGTTCTTGACATAGAGAATCTTCCAATCACAATAGAAGACGGAGATATTGAAATTCCTATTTTAGAATCATTCCCCATTGAAACATCAGAAAATGTGGAAATATTTAGTATTATAAAAAAATAATGAACATGGTATTGAAAACAGTTTCAGAGAGATTACCACACTCGATGTAAGTTACTAGAATTTAGGGTAACAACATAATTTTTTAATAGCTACACTTTAACAGAAATGATTCAGCACTCTATATAAGTAAAGTCTGACGTCAGTTTATAAAACATCACTCTTATTAACCATGTTCAGTGGTTCTGAATTTTAAATTTAAAATCCAAAGTCCTATCTTTTACAGGCCACGTGGACTGGTTTGTATTAGACAGAGCAAATAAGTAATGGGTATTAAATTTCACTTTACTAAACGGAGACATTATTTTTCAGGATATATCTGTGGAATTTCAACAATATATTCCAACTGAAAATGAAAAATGCCAAACTACTGAATCTATGAGCAAAGGAAATGAGACAGAAAAGAATAAAAATAGCGCCGAGTTAAAAGAAATTGTTGAAGATAGCACTATTTTTCAGGTAAGTTAAATTTTTGTATGTTTATTTTTTTATACCTTCAAATTTTGCATTAATGCTTGTTTGGCCTAGGTACTGACCTAATCTTAATTATTTTTTACAGGAAATTTGTGGAAGTGATGCGGATTATACATATTCTGATCCTGATTGGTTACCTGATTCGAAAATTAGTGCAAAGCGACCAAAACTTATGAAAATTGATATCATCTCAAAAAGTTGTTCCGCCAAAGGACAAAAAGATAGTACGGGTATGGTACAATTATATTGTCTGTCGTTAGTCACTTGATTGTATTGTTGGTATTTACCTAGAGAAGGTGTAATAATTAGATACAATAAAATAGTAACTATAAATTCTATGTAGGTTTTCTGCTGTTATGATTGTGTTCACCAACATGATTTATTATTGTTACAGATGATGTTGCATCTACGCTTGGAAACGTAAGAACTTATTCCGAGACTCATTTCATAGATGACAACGAAAACGCTGAAAATCCCATAGAAGCAGTAGAACCCAGTAAATATACAAAAAGAATAAAAGGTATAAGGAAAAGAGAAAACGAAAAGTTAAAAAAAAATCACGGATTGGACTATAAAAATAGGAAAGGCAAATTGTTTTCATCTAGAACTTTCAAACCAGTTGAAAAATGCTGCATTAAGAGAAAGTGTAATGAGAAGATTACATCAGAAAACCAAAGAAAAATATTTAATGATTTTTACACACTTCCAGTTTGTGCAAGAGACCAAGCATTAGCTGACAGAATTAGAATTTCTACGCCAGCAGTAAGTCGGAAAAAGGAAGATACATGTGAAACCAGAGTTACTCATGATCGACTAGTGACTGTGTCATACTATGTTACTTTAGATGGAACTACAACAGAAATATGTAAAACTATGTTCATTGGTGTTTTTGGTTTAAGTAGAGGCAAGGTGGATGTCATTATTCAAAAAGTGAAAGCTTCTTCATCTAGAATTATCCAAGGAGATATGCGAGGTAAGCACCCACAACAGTTTAAAACTACTAGCGAGGAAATTGAAGATATTAATGCATTCATAGACAGATATCCTAGGCATGAGAGCCACTATGCTAGGAGAGATAGCTCCTCTAAAAAAGTATTTCTACCAAGTAATTTAAATGTTAAGATTATGTATAAGGAATATTGTGAGCACAGAAATGAAAATGGTCACACTAAGTCCGCATGCTATGATGTTTTTAGAAAACAGTTTAATGCCAAAGGATATAAATTTAAAGAACCATTTATTGACACATGCAACAAATGTGATGAGTTTATTTTAAAGAAAAGACATTCAACCAATAAATCTGATCGCCAAATTGTTTCTGATATGCACGACTCTCACATCAAAGAGGCCCAAGAGGTTATGATATGAAAAATCATGATAAAAATCTAGCGAAGTACTATGACAATAGAGTTCTATTAGTGTTTGATCTCCAACAGGTTCTTCCTGTACCTTACTTATCATCAAATATTGCATATTATAAGAGGTTTCTATCCATGTACAACCTCACTATAAGAAACTGTTCAAATGACCAGGATTCTTCTTATTGCTGTATGTGGAGTGAGATAGATGCAGGCAGAGGCTCTGATGAAATTGCCTCGTGTGTTTTTCAAAAAAATTATGGATCTTCCAAACAATATCGAGTATGTCACCACATACTCAGACACCTGTGGAGGACAAAACCGAAACATTAACATTGCCGCCATGTTTTGTTATGTTCTGACCAAGAAGAAAACCATTCAGGCAATTGATCAAAAATATTTTGCTACCTGGTCATACACGTCTCGAATGCGACAGCGATCATGCTCGTATTGAAAGAGCGAAAAAAATACTTCACTCTTCAGTTAACAAAAACAGTATCAGTGATACGTACAGAATCATGGTGCCACGTGATTGGTGTCAGTTCGTCCGCACACTTTCTGGGAGAAAGAAATTTAAAAGTTATTGAAATGCAACAACTTGACTTTAAGGAATTTTCTAGTCTGTTGAAAAATGTGTTGGTCCATCGGAAAAACTGACAGTGAAAAACAAAAAGTCGAATGGTTGAAAATCAGGTGGCTACGATACACTCAAGATTTTGGACGAATTTATTTCAAGTACGATCTTAACCCATTTTCTCCATTTAAAAGCTTTAGTATATTGAGGGGTAAGAAGGGTCGACCAGAAAACTTGGAAGTTGCAAGATCATATGCTGGACCTTTGCCAATAAACCCGAAGAAAAAGAAGGATCTTCTCTCAATGTTTAGCCTCATTGATCCCCAGTTCCATTCGTTCTACAAGAAGCTGACCACTGATACAAACAGTCGTGAGTTTGATGAATTGGATGAGTTGGATGAAGAAGATAAAGTTTAGTTTCTACTTTCTTGTTTTACTCAACAATTTTTATTTTTCTTTGAATGTAATGTTTTAAAAATAATGTAACTCTGTCAACTAGCAAGGACAATTTTGAAAAACAACGTATAAATACTGATTTAATAGTTATATTAATAAAAACTGCTATAAGTCTGAATTGTTGTTTATCAAGATGTCTTTCAAATTATTTCACATATTTTTTACATAGAAATCGAAAATAAATTTAAAACTACACAAACACTTGTAATAAACCCTTTAATATAACTAATTCTTGCTTGAAAATTACTGGTAATTTATCCATAAAAAAAAGCATTACCAAAAAAGAGTTATGAGGAATAATTTCCCTATATAGTTATGTGGTGATTTGAGTCATATGGCAGACGACAAAACATGATATCTTTTACATCACTTACAAAAAAAAAAATAATTAGTAAATTTAAATAACATTGTTATTGCTTGATATTTTGTATTCAGTTAGTAAAAGAACAGCTGCATAGTTAAATATAAAATTTGCTATGAATAACTTAATAACTGATTTTTAGAACCCTGCTAAACTTTAAAATTGCTCTCCTGAAAAGTTGATGAAACATGACTTATCAGCTTATGTCATCTACTCACAGATATATATATATATATAATATAATATATATATATATATATATATATATATATATAATATATATTTAAATTATGGAAATTTTATAATTAGTATTTTAATGTATCTTGTGCCTTGTTTGTACCTACTATACCATGTTGTGTTTTATAAATGTAAACTATAAATTTAAAAACAATAAATTTCTCTTTCTCTCTATGGAAATTAACAAATAAAAAACCAGACATAATTCTGAATGACATACTTGAGACAAACAGTTCATCCCTCCTCAACCTATTTCGTTAGACTAAAAATTGTAAACTATTCCAAAAATAGATCACTTTTATACCCATTCCTTGCATGTTTCGAACCTAATCCATTCTTCCTCGTAGTTTTCTCCACAAAAAAGACAAGTTTCTTTGTCAGTGCTACATTTGTAGTTTATCTTTCATTTAAAATTTCCTCTGCTGCTTTAATTCTGGCTGATTTCCCTATTGCTGTTCTACTTTTGTCGCTACCAATTTTCGTCAATGTTGAATTTCTAACTATTCTTTATAGCTAGAACTACTTTATACAATTAGAACTACACCTAAAGAAATAATTCTTTTTTTCTGTCGAAGTTCCATCGATATATTGCTTAAAGGTAAATAGTGAATTATTTCCATTAGAACATAGTACTTGCTGATTCTGCACAGATTGTGTGTTTTCTAGATTTGTATCAATAGTTATTGAAGTGGCACATTCAAACTCTTAGGCACTAGTTTCCAAAAAAAATCTGATATGAATGGCCTTTCTATGGGATTTTTAAAGGAGTATTTTACAGGAGCGAAAACGTAGTTTGGAGACCCGGGTACAACCATGAAAAGAGGACTGTTCTGATCTACAAACTGTTCAAAGAGGTACTGATTTCATAATTCGTTAAACTGTTGAGACTTCGATGGGCTGGTGAAAAATTTAAAACAGTGGAGAGAAAAATCAACCATAGAACTCATCAGAACTGCTGCAGACAGAGTAAAATGGACCGTAATGATGGCCAATGTCCTTAAATGATAAGGCACACGAAGAAGATAGTTGTGGTGTCTTGCGGTTAGTGTTCTTCTTTGGTAGTCATATCTCTTCACTAGATCTTCGAGGAAAGTATGCTCTTAATGGAGTATAAGAAATGAACATCAGAAACCTCCAACTCACAAATAAATGTCCGAGACAATGTTCGATTTTGTCTTTTCCTGGCTGACTGGAATAGTCGCACCTGATTTTCAACTATCACGAAAATCAAGGAACGTCTCAGTAGAGTCTGCACGCAGCGCCGTGTATACACGGCGTAATGTGATTCAAGGGTCGAATATACAGGTGTAAAAATATTAAACACAAATTAATATTAAATATGTATATGTATGTTATATTTGCTATAAATACAAAAATTACAAATAATTACACTATTCTTCGTTTTTAGTCTCAGACTTAGGTTTAACTTTCTTAGCGAATTCAGATAAGTCTCGTCTCATGGAATATGCATCTTCACCATCTGCATAATATTTTGGCTCGATTTCCACAGTTTCAAATTTCAAAGAGTTTTTGTATAGATTTAAAGCGGCGCGATTGCTTTTACGAACATGCAGCGAAACGTATTTTGCGTCAAAACATTCGACCATGGCTTCTGAAGCTTGATCCATCAGTTTTTGGGCTAGCCCTAATCGTCTGTGAGATCGCTTCACCGCCAGGGAAGTTATGTGACCATGCTTGAGATCTTCTTGATCTTCTTCCATTTTTGCTAGGACATATCCAACTATGTTGCCTAAAAATGAAACATATAAAATATAAATCCCTATTTTTATAAGATATATTATTATACAACAAAAATATAATAATTTATCAACACAGAGTAACAACTGATAATCATTTCATAATATTACTTGTCAGATATAACGAAAAGCATGTCCCTAATTCTTGTTATTTATTAATGATTCAGTACTTGAATGTTTTAGGGTTAACAGGAGAATTTAATAGAAAAAGAATGCCATCTATCAACACAGAAATATATTCGAGATAAGTAGATATGCCGAAACACATACGTAAATGAAAATATCTTCTTCTTCTAGTTCCATGACCGTTATCGATCGTTGGATATCATGTTGGCTACCATATTCGCTATAGTGACGTTCTTCTTCTAATAGGACCACGATTACCCTGGATCTTTTCCTGAATGATCAGATGTAAAAGATCATATTTTTCAGGGTGTTTCCTAATGTGACCAAAGTATTCCAGCTTACGTTTCTTTATTATATTGACCAGTTGTGTTGTTTGGTTCAGCCGTCTAAGGACCTTCTCATTTCTAATCTGTCGACCCAGCTTATTTTCAGTAGTCTGTACACCCACCTCTCAAAGGCTGTCAAGCGTTTAAGGATAGCCTCAGTTAGAGTCTACGCTTCCACTCTATACAGCAGGACAGGAAAGGTGTAGCAAGATGTCATTCGAACTCTAAGGTCAATTCTAAGATCGTGACTGCAAAGTATGTTTCTCATTTTTACAAAGGCAGCTCGGGCTTGTTCTATTCGGCTTTTAATTTTTGCGGTTGGATCCTAGCTCTCATTGATATTACTGCCGAGATACACGAGTTTCTCTACTCTGTCCAGTGTGGCATCTCCGACTTTTATACCGTCATCCTGTATATAATTTTGTTTGCTAACTATCATATATTTAGTTTTCTTAACATTGAGTTTTAATCCATACTGATCACAAGTCTGTTTTATTTTGTTCATGAGATTTTGAAGGTTTTCTGCGCAATTAGCAAGCACTAAGGTATCGTCGGCATATCTAATATTGTTGACGGTTACTCCATTCACAATAATATCTTCGGTTGTCTCCATTAAGGCTTCCTTTCTTAAATATTTTCTCCGAATATAAGTTAAAAAGTAAAGGCGACAATATACAGCATTGTCTCACTCCTCTTTTTATATTTATTTCATCTGACAGTTCCTGTTCAACCTTTATTCTTGCCACTTGATGCCAGTATAGATTTGTAATTATTCTTAGATCTTTATCGTCCAATCCAGCTGTTTCCAATATTTCTAGCATTTTGTTATGTCGGACTTTGTCAAAAGCCTTTTCAAAATCGATTGCACAAATCTACACATTTTGATTTATATCTCTGCATCTCTGTACTAGCACCTGCATACTAAACAAGGCTTCTCTTGTACCCAAGTCACTCCTAAACCCAAATTGAGTATTGTTAATTCTGTCCTCTAACAGTGTATAAATGGCCGCGCCGATCTTCCTTGCGTCCTCGTCCACACCGTCCCTCCATCTCAGTCGTGGTCTGCCTCTACTCCTATTTCCCACTGGGACCGATAATAGAGTTCGTCTGGGTGGGTAATTTTCATTTGCTCTTGACACATGTCCAGCCCATCTAAGCCTACCTATTTTTATGAAGGATATTACATCTCTACCATTTACTATTTTTTTATACTTCTCGTACAATTCGAAATTATATCGCCTTCTCCAAATACCATTCTCACAGAATGCGCCCATTATTCTTCTTAGTATCTTCCTTTCGAAGACGAGCAGAAGATTTGCGTCTGTTTTGGAGATGGTCCATGTTTCTGACCCATATGTCAGCACTGGTAGGATGAGTGTTCGATATATTATTAGTTTGGTTTTCTGGCTTAAATTTCTGTTTTTTAGCTGCTTGCTTAGTCCAAAATAACATTTGTTTGCTAGCAGTACCCTCCGTTTAACTTCTTCAGATGTGTCATTATCGTTTGTTATGAGAGAAACCCAAATATGTAAACTTATTTACTACCTCAAAATTATATTGGTCTATACTGAAGTTTTGTTCGGCGTTTCTAGCTCTATCTCTGTTATTTGGAATAGATGCTAACATTTTGGTTTTTTCCTCGTTTATTTTAAGGCCCATATTTTGTGCGGCTGTCAAGAAGGCGGAAGTCATCTCTTTAAGTCCTCGTGTAGTACGTGCAATCAAATCCAGATCGTCAGCGTAAGCCATAATCTGCGTTGATTTATTAAAGATTGTTCCCCTATTGTGTAACTCGGCATCTCTTATAGTCTTTTCTAACGCTATATTAAAGAGAAGGCACGCCAGCGCGTCTCCCTGCCGTAACCTGCAATGTTCAAACGCTTGTGACATATCGCCTTGTATTTGCACTCTGCAGATCACTTTACTCATAGTTGTTTTTACGAGCCTTATTAATTTATGGGGAATGTTAAGTTCATTCATGGCTTCGTATAATTTACCTCTTAGGACGCTATCATACGCTGACTTAAAGTCCACAAAGAGATGGAACGTGTCAATATTAAATTCATTGGTTTTTTCTAAGATTTGACGTAGCACAAAAATCTGGTCGATTGTTGACCTACCTGGCCTAAAACCGCTTTGATACTCACCAAGGATTTCTTCCACGTACGTACTTAAACGGCTGTACAGGGTATTGGAGAATATTTTGTACATTGTATTCAGAAGAGTTATACCCCTATAATTTTTACATTCCAACAAATCTCCCTTTTTGTGTAGTGGACATATGATTCCAGTGCACCATTCCTCTGGCATTTGTTCTTCTTCCCAGACTTTGACTATTATGTTGTGAATTTAGTGCATAATGCTGTTACCTCCATGTTTGATGAGCTCTGCGGGGATACAATCCACTTCTGGGGACTTGCTATTTTTGAGTCGTGTGATTGCGTCTTTCACTTCAAATGTTGAAGGAGGTTCTACGTGAGTGTTATTTCTTGGTCTTTGGGGTGACGCATCATTTTCCACTTCGGTACCAAGTAGTTCTTTGAAGTGCTCAACCCATTTGCTTTGTACTGCGTCAGCGGTACTGACTATATGTCCATTTTTGTCTCTACACATCGTCATCCGTGGTTTAAATTCTTTTCTTGTCTTATTTAGGATATTATAGAACTTTCTAGTTTCATTTTGCCCCTTTAATGATTGAAGCTCTTGCATAATCTGGTTTTCAAAGGTCCGCTTTTTCCTTCGATGTATGCGTTTTTCCTCCTTCCTAAGATCTTTGTACATTTGCTCCTTATCCCGTGTTCTTCTTTGTTTCATAAGTTTATATGCATAATTTTTTCTTTTAGTGATATCTTCACATTCATCGTCGAACCAACTGTTGCGTGGAGTGGATTCTTCTGGTCCTAAGACGTTGTTTGCCGCTTCCTTAATTGTTCTTCTACATATATCCCATTGCTCGCTAGCTGTTAAATTCTCATCTGTTGTGCTTTCATGTTCAAGGTAATTTTGATACCTTTCTAGTGCGCGGGGCTCTTTCAAGAGTTTTAAATTGTAGCGAGTACTTTTCTTACCCTTTCCTTTTTTTTTGCATTTCTGCTCTGTATTACTCGCAGGAATATCTTCAAAACGTGACTCATCAGACGTATTGTCCGATAATCACCGCATGTCTTTGGACGATGTGTCTTAGGTATTGTGACAAATGTCGACTTTAACCAATCAGTTGATAATATCCCAGTGTCATAAATTCTATTAAAGAGATTACACAGAGCTTAATTCCATTTTCTTCAAAAAACTTTAGTATTTCAGCACTTCATCCACAACATGCCCCTCTTCGGCTCTTCACATCTTATATGCTTGTTGAGTCCCTTTTGTCCATTAAGACATAATCAATTTGGCGGCTGTCCCACCAAGCATAATCCATGTCGCTTTGTGAGAGCAATAACAGCCCAAAAAGACAATAAAGTATGGGCATATAATGAGGAAACGATGTAGGAAGAGAATTTAAAAAAAAAAAATTAGCGAAAAAATACGAATGAATTGGAGAAAACAATGACCAAAGTGAAAACACATCCACATCAAAGATCATCAAAGAAAGTAAAAACTAGGAATCGTCTAATCCCACACTCAAAAATGATTTTTAAGTAAAAAACAGCTACAACTACAGCCAAAAAACAACGCTACTACCATCAAATCGCGAACATAATAGTGGACCACATTTGTAGAAGGATTCCAATAAAACAAGCAGTTGGGCATTAATCTGTGTTGTCTTCCAACAATATTCAATGTGTAATATGAAGATATATTCAAGAAATCTCTGAGATAGACAAGAATTTGTTGCTGTCTAAACCCTAAAAGTGTTCTCAAACGAGAAAATTATTTCCAGGTAAGCTCTTCATGTGTAGAAACATCTTTATGCACCTTCGCAAAAGAACTCGTTAACTTTAATATTTTTTAGTGTTGCTATATGGACGTGTAATACGAACTTAGCAATAATGATAACAAAGTGTTTAAGTTGTGGTGCTATCGTCAACTTCTGAAGACATCATGGAGGATACATATTACCAACGAGGAGGTGATTGGAATACAATTAAAATAACAAAAGCAGGATACATTGGTCATATTGTCAGAGGATCTAAATATCAAGTGCTACCAGTCATTATTTATGAAAAAGTTGCAGAAAGAAGATAAATTACATGTTTTCTTATGTAATAAAGTCTTCAAGTGGAAGACATCGTTTGAGCAGCTGTTGATAGAGGACAGATGAAACAGAAAGTACAGAAAAATAAATGTTTCTACAATGCGAGAACAAAAAAGGGTATTAAGACATTCTACACGTATTGATATTGTTTAAAATTATGCATACATTTGTAATAACGTAGCCTACAAGCTTAATACATCTGAGTTAACACCACTTATTATCTAAAACATTGATTCTACAGTTTATTACTAAATTATATTCTACAATATTGTCTGTTACAAACAACTATAACAATCATTTCTTTCTTCAATAATTATTTAATACAGGATTTCAAGGTCTCAACTAT